AAAAGCAGATTAACATTGGATTAACAATTTCGTGACTATTTCACAAAATAAATGACAATAACATAAATGTATCGATCGGTCAATGAGTTGTGATCGGAGAAGATGTGATGCAATGGCTGTGAGAGAGAGAGAGAGAGAGAGAGAGAATGTATGAATGAACGAGAAAGAGAGGGAGAGAAAGTACTTCAGTTCTCATAGCAACGCATCCGATATGATCTGCACATCACTTCACAAAATACAATGCGAACCATATTTTCGGGTGTGAAACACGTCTCGCAACACAACATACAGCGAGAGTACAGTAAAAGTATACGAAAAATATTTTCTTATCTTTTAGGATTTTAGTGCGAATTTTTTTCTCATAGATCTATATATTAAATATAAAGCAAAATAATACCAAAATTTAATTCAATAATCTTTCGGTCGATGGGAGAAGTTTTTTACTATTTTTTTAATTTAATGGCAATTAGCGATCGCTTCGGCGAACACATTGTTGAGCGAGAAATATGTTTTCTTGTCTGTGATGTAAAAAACTGGTGAATGAATAGCAAAAACACACACAAAATAAACAACAAAAATGTTAACCTATGCTAACATTCCATAAATTATTAGCTAAAGTATTGAATTTCCAGCGAAAAAAAACGACAACTAATTGTTTGATTGATTGAATTTTTCTTTAGAGAGCTATTCAATGCCCTAAAGTTAATATACGTTATTGTTATTTATTCACAACAATATAAAATTATATACTGTTTTATATCTATGGCATTATACTATTTTTATAAGCCGTCTACTCTTGTAGAAAGCAATATATATAAAACTGTTTAAGAGTTTTGCAAATTAGTCCCCAGTATAACGATACCCTTATATTAAATATAATCATTTCCGAAAAATAAAATAGCAATATTCATACAGTCTTCAGATCACTCTCTCTCTCTCTCTCTCTCTCTCTCTCTCACTGAAGAGATCAATAAATTGTTTGATTAAAGCCGTAAGTATTCGTTGAGCGAGAGTTTGCGAGGTTTTAAGAAATTTCTCTAAATTTTATATTTTATAACTTAATTTCAAAATTCACATTTTGTTTATTACCACAAGTCTTATAAAGTATTAGGGATTTTATAATAAAAATTCTGTTATAATAGCACTCAATATAACGAAATATATTATGGTAATCAAACCGAAAACCAAACGCACAATAAATATTTTATCCGTAAACTTATATCCAATAATTCCTGTTTATCTGATCCCTAAAAGCAGATTAACATTGGATTAAGAATTTCGTGACTATTTCACAAAATAAATGACAATAACATAAATGTATCGATCGGTCAATGAGTTGTGATCGGAGAAGATGTGATGCAATGGCTGTGAGAGAGTGAGTGTCGACACGGAGTGGAAGCTGTGTTGCAATTCTCGGATTGAGTTCAATGCGAGTCAGTCCTATGTCTGGGAGAGTGATATACAACAGCAACTAATGGCATGGATTGTGTTGTAGAGTATTTCAATAGTAAAGAGTGTGAACCGAAAAATATAATCAGATATTTTCACAACGAATTCCTTGTGTGAGTGTTTCTCTCTCTCTATGTGTTTGTGATTCTGGTGTCCATAAAACCAGAGTTAAAGCGTAAAGAGAGCGCCATTTCAGCACATCTTTGTCATCATTAATTAATTAACAAATGAAATTCATTTGCATTTCTATATTGAAATACTACTTCTCGCCGAGCGATGTGTGCTTTGTATCGCAAATGTTGTGATTTTAATAAATTTATGTTTCTGTGGCGGAGAAGAGACGAGTCGTTACAATGATTTCATTTCGATATCATTTACTGTTGGCTCTCATTTGGAAGATTATATCACACATCTATGGACTTCCAGATGTCATCAGAATTGGTCAGTTACACACTTCTAGTGTCAAATTTAACCTATTGTTTTCTTTTTGCTTTTACTCTCCGATTTGTATTTAGTGTTGTATTTCAATTGATTGTATGTTTTGTTATTTTATTTATCATTATAAAAAGGTTACATAAAATACTTAACATTTACATGAATATAACATAATGTTTATTATATTATATACAAGAATAATAATCAGTATGTTTTTTGTCTCTACATTCACTAACTGTTGTTATAAATATTTGATTAGAGATATATCTATATATGATTATACGCTTAACGTTAACAATAGGCGTTCAAAAACATGTTAACCATTAGATTATACATAAGAATTGATTTTAATATAATATTTGTATTAGAATTTTGAGCCCATTATATGTTGATAGCAATGATAGCATCGCCGCTATTATACAGCGATTATATTGTGTGGAATTGATTCACAAAAAGCATTTTCAAAATCGATTTATTTGTTGAAAAATCTTCAAAGACTCTCTAATATTGTGTTGAATATATACATACAGAATATTCTGTTGTGTATTGTATATAGTATTTGAATATAATTTTTTGATTTCGATTTTTAAATTATAAAAGTATTTTCAAACCATAACTGAAGAGCACTTTAGATATTTATATGAACACATGAATGACTTGAATACTTATATTAAGTAATATTTAAATTTTTTGATCAAAATATAAGAGGATTACAACGAAAACAGAGATAATTTAAAACAAATAATTAAGGAGTTTAAGTAACAAAAAGGCATCACATTTATTAGTTGACACAAACTTTTCATAATTAAGATCTCAATTCCAATGCAAATGGAGAGTGAAATTAGCATTATTTTAATGAATCCGTATAAATAATGTAATTAGTATTTTGTTTAAACCATTGCCTCAATTGACTATAAGGTTAGTTTGTTTCCAGTGTTAGGCAATAAATCACCATTAGATTAAGTGGTGGACAGTTGTGTACAAGACAGGGGCCGGCCTTTTAATCGTGTTTATTACTGATGGACCGAATTGTTTTCAAATTACTATATAGAAAGAGTATATACAGTGTATGTATGAAAAGGGATCGGTAGTCGACAACCGGGTGTTAAATGGGACACACAATCGGGTGAAATAGTGGGCTCGCATGACAAACGACACAAACCATTGTGTGTTCAAGTGATTCGCTGTATAAATAAAGTTTTGCCCTTAACTAACATTTCCATCATTATAACGGATATATTGATATGAAATATAATCCATACTTAAGATATAATGGCAGACATAAAGATAAATAAAAGCAGAATTTAATTGAATTCTCCGTTGAATACACAGCGAAGAGAGAGAAGCGAGAGTTTTGAACATAAAATTTCATACAATCCCATGATTTATGTCTGCATTTTATAGAAATGCTTATAATTATTAGATGTAATAAAAATTAATGACTCATTAGAGCGTGAAATATAAAATCGATAATTGAATGAAAACATACGAATGAATGTCACAAACAGGGGGTCTGTTTGGCGAGGAGGACGAGGAGCAGGAGTTGGCCTTTCGGTTCGCGATGGAGCGCATCAACGCGGACCCGACTATATTACCTAGGTCAACTCTCGTCGCACAGGTTGAACGCATCGGCCGGGAGGACAGCTTTCACGCCGATAAGAAAGGTTGGCATCAATTTTTATGGCTATTCATGTGTGGCGTAAAACTACTGTAAAGCCATTGTATTGTATACGATATAAATGGTATAGTGTTTTAAGCGCCGAGTATTTTATAGCGCAATACCACAGTATAATACAGTATTATATAACTCTATCTTTTAGTAATAACTCAATTAAGACATAAAAGAATGGAAAAGATTTGGTGAAAATAAGACACAAAAGCTTTTTTATTATTTACTTTGACTGCAATGACAGACACATACCATTAATAACTAAATTTGAGTTCTTTTTGTTGTTGTCTTTATTATATTTACGAAGTTTTTTCCCTCAATTCAAGAGAATATTGTTTACTATAATATACGGAAAATGACATATTGTTTAGTGGTTTTCATTCATAAAACTTCTATCAATACAAGCAATTAATCCCGAAAAAGAAAATTTAATTTGATTAAAATAAATGGTTTATTTGTTTGGCCACTCTGTATGACAAGCCATAACCCATACATGCATTTAATATGTGACTCTCCGGTGCCCACAGTGTGTGGTCTGCTTCGCAGTGGAGTGGCCGCTATATTTGATCCGTTGGAGGCCTCCATCTCAAGACACGTACAATCAATTTGCGACGCTCTGGACATCCCTCATGTGGTGACCCGTTGGGACTTCCAGGTAGTGAAAGACGGTCTGTCCATCAATCTCTACCCGAAGCCCGCAGTTCTCGCCAAAGCATATGTAGATCTCGTGAAGGCTTGGAATTGGAATAAATTCGTTATCTTATATCAAGACAATGAAGGTATGGCTCTGTGTCTCAGCTGTTCGTCTCTATTCTCCTCCTAACCATTCCCTCCTCTTTCTACTTCACACCGATATTCAACACCAAAACGAGTGATAAAATCACATAAAAACCAATTTATTTTTATGACTATCACTGCCAGATATAAATCTGAATCGTTTGATAGCTTTGAATAAATTTTTGCTATCATTTTGTTTATTCCCAACGCATTGAGTGAAAAAGTGTTTAGTGTCTCAATATATAACATATTCTGGATAATAGAAATGCTGTATATATAATAGGGTATAAAAAGTAAAGCAAATCCAAGTCATGTTCAATACCTTTATGTCATTGATTTTTTTCGCTGTTGCTGTCGAGGGCTTCGGCTGTCTGTTTAAGTCGGACAATATCTTTCACTGCATTTGACACGAAATACATATTTTTATTTTGGCCTCAGGTTTGGCTCTATTATGATCTGTGAAGGAAAAAATCTAACATAAATAAAACGATGGCTTATAAATACAGACACAAAAAAACATACAACAGATATATCTGAAGGGGAATCACATTTTATGAGACAAATTCCGAGTATAAGAGCCGAGCATTAGTCGTATCGGATTTGCCATACATTAGTGTACAATCGTATATACAGTTCGGGATATAATACAAAAACATATTATAGTATTACATATTCTATTGCCGTTTCATTTCATTAAGAATTTATAGGAATTACTATCCGTTCGAAGCCTTTAATGCCTTTTAACACAATATGTGAAACTTTAGGATAGAATTGCATTAATTTTGAATGTTTTGCCTCCAAATTCTTTATTATTGTTTGCAACTGATTTCTGAGCCGTAAACTCGACATCAAATTGCTTTCATACCATTCCTTCTCTCCATTCCTTGACTTCCCTCTCCCTCTCTCTCCCTCCATATCTTCTCTCTTTCTTTTTCGCTTTCTTTCTTTCTTCACTTACTGTTCACTCCATTAATTGATTTTACAAATGAAAAGAAGAGACAAAAACAAAAATATTAATCTAATTTAAGGCAATAATATAATTGTGTTTTACTGTTACTTAATATTTGAAAGGAATCGTTAGACTCCAAGACTTCTTCAAAGAAGCACAGCTTCGCAATTGGATAATCAAATTATATCAGTTTCAACCGGGAATACCATATCGAGACACCTTCTGGAAGATTAAAGCCGAGAACGAGTTTAATATAGTGTTGGACGTAAAGAAGCAAAATATGTATAGCGTTCTCAAACAAGTAATAAATCTTACACTTTCTTTCATTCTCTCTCTCTCTCTCTCTCTCTCTCTCTCTCTCTCCTCTTCTCTTCCCTTCTCTTCTCTTTTCTGCTCTCAATATATGTTTTTTATTTTGTTTTCTCCGTTTCTTTCGCTATGAATTACCGCAGAGTTTCACTGTTTTAATAAATTTTCTAAATATTCTCATTAATCTTTAGGCACAACAGGTCGGACTCATGACTGAACAGCACAGCTATTTGATAACATTACTGGTAAATGCTATGCTATGCCAAATCAAATATATTTAAATTTTGTTCATTAATTATGATTATATATATATTTGGTGTGATGGCAAAATATTCAAATCATTACTATAAACTTTTCGTTCATTTATTATTTTTATTTAATATTAAATTTTTACGTAAATCAAGATTTAAATATTTTAATATAAAAATAGGACCCGTTTTTCATTTGTCATGCAATATAAACGACAATTTTATGATTAAAGTCACTATTTTAGGCAAATAGCGAGTAATATTACTAAAGCCTTTAGTAAAGCCCTCGTTTTGTTGATGTGTTTTAAAACTCCTATATTATAATGTTTGCCATTATATAGAAATTAATGTAAAGCATAAAACATACGACAAAATGAAATCAATTCGCGATTGACTTCATAAATAAAGTCCAAACAAATTATTGATTTTTATTTTCCGCATTTTGTAGTATAATATTATAAATTTTAGTCATGTTTTCAATAACAGTGAAAATTGTTATTTGAAAACTAAAGTACAAATTGAGAAGTGAGCCAAATATTGAGCAAAAAACTAATGCAAACTCTATTCTCATTCAAACAAAATAACAAAAAATTCTATATATCACTAAAAATGATAGACAAGAAAATATTTATTCAGTCATGTTTTCAATCATACAGTAATAGCTTTTCGTTCTCTCTCTCTCTCTCTCTCTCTCTCTCTCTCTCTCTCGCATCTCAGATAATATACAATATACTTATACTTTTTGCTCGAATATTAGTTCAATATATATTTTTCATATACTTTTGTGAGTTTCAATATCTCTGTATTCAAGTCTCAACTTTTCTACTCCTCTACTCCTCTCTTCTTCTAAGATAATTGTCTCGAAAAAGAATAACAAATATATTTTTGAATCAATTTTTTTATTCGTAAAACAATTCTCTAGATAGCAGTCATTGTTTTGCTTTTTCCCATATTTTCACTATATATTTGTGGACTTTTTTCCCCGAATAAAAGATTAGAGAAACCTTTTGAAAACAAAAGAGTCGAGAAAAAAATTTAATTCATTTTTTTGTTATGACTATAAGACACATTCGTATGATTGATACGACACTTAGCATTGAGTTTAGTATATATTGTATTTTCGTTCACAATATTTATCAAAAAAGATTTTTTTATTTGTTTTGTGTGTAGTTTTTCTCTTATGCGAAAGACATTCCGATCCGTTATGAGTGGTATTGCTGTTCACAGCAATGATTTTCATTTAACATTTAAACCCCTTAACAATAGAGAGATTATTTTTCGCTAAGAAATTCATTCACAAGAAGTAGTGATGCAGTTATTGTTAGGTATTAAACATGTATATAGAAGTTATACAGAATATTCTGGTAATCCATCACTCATTGAATTGTGTACACTCTATGGCTATGCATTTATCAATACATATATCCATCTATTTTATCTATACATCTTATGGTATGTGCATATAGTTAATGGATGAATGTGTATATTGTATAGGATTTACATACAATCGATTTGGAAGATTTCAAATTCGGAAAGACCAAGATCTCATCCTTCCGTATGGTTGACTCCTCGAGCCTTGAATTGCAGTCACTTTTAGATGACTGGACTCTACTCTCGTCGCGTCTGGGAGTTAGGCGTACGAAAGCGCCCGAAAGTATTTCGGTATTTAATTAACTCATTAATTACCAAATGAAAGAAATTGCGGGCATAAGAAGAAAAAGCACAGAACCCAAAGAAAATTACACTTATTTCTCACTATAAATTAAATGAATTTTTCTTGCTTTTCTTGTTTTTTAATCCTCTTTTCTTTCGCTTTCTCTCGATTCCCAATACGTTTGTCTTGTTTTTTAACATGTATTTTAAAATACAGACAGAATCGGCGCTTATATACGATGGCGTAAAGTTGTTGGCGACAGCCATCCAAGACTTGGATCAAAGTCAAACCGTTGAGATCCAATCGATATCATGCGAGAACAGCATTCCCTGGGAAAAGGGCAGTTCGCTTATCAATTATATGAGACCAGTAATTATATCTAAATTACAATTTATTTTTCGCAAATATATTAACTTTTCATTTATTATAAATTATTTATGACTTTCATTCGCCGTTATTATTATGATTATAAGCAATGTTTTGCGATTCATTTTTGTCGGCGAAATACTCTTTTATATACAGAATATATATATGTTTTGCTTTGAATCATAACAACATTACTTTCCCAAAATATTATTGATTGTTAAATATTTAGAGCACATCCACTCACTTTATTCATTTTTGTCGGCGAAATACTCTTTTATATACAGAATATATATATGTTTTGCTTTGAATCATAACAACATTACTTTCCCAAAATATTATTGATTGTTAAATATTTAGAGCACATCCACTCACTTCTTGCAGCGCTAAAAGTGTGGGCACAAGAATTGCTATTAATTTCTGCTGTGTTTCATATGCTTTGTCCAAAATTGCAGATCACTTTTCGCGGTATAACAGGTCTCGTGGGCTTCGATCAGTCGGGATTCAGATCCAGCATTACGTTGGATGTCATGACCATTGATTCAGAAGGACTGCAGAAAGTAATGCACAACTCTTTACTTATTTTTTCCCGCTAATGGCCTCCTATATTACACTTATCATTATTATTATATTATTGATTTATGACTAAAAATATACTTTGTAAAAACAATTGAATTATTATATACAATGTTATATTATTCTTCCACTACTTTCTGTTCCCCGCTTTTCCTATCCCTCATTCACTTCACTCACTGACTCTTTAATTCATTTATTATTTCTCTTCAATTTCGTTAAAAAATAGACAACTTTTTTAATTAAAACTTTTTTCTTGTGTTAAACTTTTATTTCTATTTTTTTTGCTGAAAAGATCGGAATTTGGTCCGAAGACAGCAAATTAGACAATAGTCTGAATATAAGCACGCAATGGATTAATCACTACTCAATGCTTGCGCTACAAAACACACACTTCATAATAACGACAGTATTGAACGATCCCTACACTATGGTTAAGGACTCGTCGTTCACCCGCAGTGGTAACGACCAGTTCGAGGGCTATGCCATCGATTTGATACACGAATTGTCAAAACTTTTGCATTTCAAGTATGAATTCAGATTAGTTAAGGATATGGCTTATGGCAGACCCGATAAAAATGGCACCTGGAATGGTATGTCTGGCCTGGAATGGCTTATTAACCCATTTACCATACATGTAACTGTAATTGTATTTGTTGGCCAAAGTCATGTTCAATTGATCATGTACAGATCTGTACAATCAGGCACTATCGTAATCAGAGAGTTAGCATCAAAATCACATTCATGTTCAGTACTTTATATGCGATATAAACCTAATTTTTGTATAACATATTGTGAGTGCCCATCATATTAGGTGCCATCAAATCTAGATATAGACTTGCATTAGAATTTAACATGATATTTACGTGGTCATATTATTATTACATCCAATGCTATAATAGTTGGCAAAGAGTTGATCCATAAAGATATTGAACAAATAAATATCAATTACAGTTATATCACATATATATATAAAAATTTATAATTAAATTATGAATCGTAAGGAATGATCGGTGAACTGATCCGAGAGGAGGCGGACTTAGCGGTCGCCGATCTTACTATTACATCGAAACGTGAGGAGGCGGTCGACTTTACCCACCCTTTTATGAACACTGGGATTAGCATTCTGTTCAAGAAGCCGACCAAAAAAGTGACCTCGCTCTTTTCATTCTTATCTCCATTTTCCAACGTGGTCTGGATCTATGTGGTCGGCGCCTACATCGGTGTCTCCTCTATGCTATTCATTGTGGGCCGACTCTCGCCATACGAGTGGGAAAACCCTCACCCGTGTAGGAAAGAGGATCGGGTGCTCGAGAACGGCTTCAGTCTCTCCAACAGCTTTTGGTTCACAATCGGATCACTTATGCAACAGGGAAGCGATCTGTCGCCTAAGTATGCACTCATATATTGTTATACCCGTCCATACCATACAAAATCTGATTCTTATGATTGTTATAATCGTTGTCTGTATTTCTCAGAGCGATGTCAACGCGAACGATAGCAAGCATTTGGTATTTTTTCACATTAATAATGATCGCCTCATACACCGCAAACTTAGCCGCTTTTCTAACGGTTGAGAAAATTGTGTATCCAATCGAAAACGCCGAGGGATTGGCCTTTCAGGACACTATCAAATATGGATGCCTTCAGTCCGGTTCCACCGCATCCTTCTTCGCTGTAATCATTGATTATTATATTATTTAATAATATATTTAATATAATTTATATGATTTATATTTGTCATGATTTCGTTTCTCTTGTTTTTTTCTGTTCAATCTATTTGTAATCTGTTTGGAGAATTGGTTATCATTTGTGTTGTGATTTATTAATAGGAATCAAACATAACGACATACAAACGGATGTGGAAATTCATGTCCAGTCATGACGGAGTGCTCATGAGATCTAACGACATGGGAAAGAAGGCGGTGGAGAACGGCGAAGGAAAATATGCCTTTCTTATGTACGGACACACCATTGAGACACTCACACAATCCCACGACACCATTATTTATTAAATACATTTCTAATTAAACTATTTGATTAATTGCAGGGAAAGCGCTTCCATTGAGTATACAGTAGAAAGATTTTGCAATTTAACACAAATCGGAGGTCTTCTCGACAGCAAAGGCTACGGAATCGCTGCCAGAAAAGGT